GTAAAAAGAATATGTCGGCCTAACACAAAAACAATTGTATTTTTCTTTAATCTTTTGATATTGTTTTGCAGAAATTTACAAAATTAAACTATTATTTTCTCAATTTAATTTTTTTTTTTCCAACGGCAAGTAACTTTTCATACCATAGCTCAAATAAAGTACAGATCGTGCAACCAAATGATTGCAAAAACAACACAGAAGCAGCTAAAAGGAAGCTACCTCTTGCAACCCAAACTCAAAGAAAATAAAAAAAGCATGCAGAAACTACAATTAGGCCATATATACAAATTCCAAGCCCTCAAACAAACTGAAAAGAGAGTACACATCATAAGCAATAGCGTTACAACAGGTGTCAAATTCCTTCTTCTCCATTAATTTTTTGGCTACTTGTTTATTTCCAGTCCTGCAGCAGCACTTCTGCCATCCTTCATGAGAGGCCTTCATCAATATCCACCTTGCGGCAACCAACCATTTACCTTCCTCACACCCATTGTACCAGCATGTCTCAATAAATTCTTGTTTGGTCTCGCCCTCTTTTTCAGCTGCTACAGGCAACTTCAGTTGATTTTGGATAGAGCTTAGAGCACTGACAGTGAGGTTCCACTGTCATACTCTCTGGGAAAATGGCTCCTCAAACTCCAACTGATGCTGCAATTTTGTGATATATGTCTTCTTCCCCGAATTTCCTTCTCCGTTCATAATCCTCATTCTTCTCTAATTTTTTTGTCGCTTTTTTTTTTTGACTAGATTCTGTGATATATGTCTTCTTCCCCAAATTTTCTTGCCCTAGGAATATATGTCTTCTTCCCCGTTCTCCATCCGTAATCCCCGTGTTCCCAATATGTAGAATTTTTATGTATTGCAAATCCTAAAGTTGTAACTAAAATAATAAAATAAAAAATAAGCTGGGCAAAAAGATTGTAATAAAATAATCAGCATACCTGATAGCACAGTAAACTTCATGCGGTTGGAAACCCTTTTAATAAGAGTTGGGAGGAAGATAGTAGAAATCTGTGCGCAGGTAGATGTGGTTTACGGCGATAGGAAACCTTTTAATAAGAGTTAGTTTTTAATTAACACAATTTAAATAAAATTCTGTTTTTTTTTTTTTTCTTGCCCCAATAATTAAGGAAAAAATTAATGACTTGGAGTGACACATCAACGCCACATCAGGGAGTTCCCTTCATGCGGTACTGATATCACCCCACCAGGTCTGAAAGGAAATAGAAAGGTTACCAAAGCTCTGCCATTCCACCCCACTCAGCTTCCAAACAAGCCTAGCTCTAGAGCAATTGAACAGAATATGGTCTAAGTCTTCCATCTCTTCACCACATATAGAGCAAATACCATCAATCAAATTGTTCTTTTCAACAGTTGGTCATAAGTACTCATGAATTTGTGCCAACACCTCCACAAGAAATGCTTCACTTTACATTTGATGGGAAGTTTCCATGTTGCATTCCACAGAGCTTTTTTGTTATTAACATTCATACTAGTGCTGGCAACACTTCTTTGTTCACAAATTTTCCCAACAAAAGCCTCATAAGCAGATTTGACACTAAAGCAGCCATGTTTCCCAAAATGCCAGATGAACTTATCTTTTTTGCCCATGAGAGAAAGAGGAATTTGAAGAATCAACTCAGCTTCTTCATGGTTAAAGGTTTGCCTTATCAGATCCCTATCCCACACCCCACCTTCCACATATACTAAATCACTCACCCAACTTAACCTGTCTCTATCCCCAGGAAAACAACATGTGGGTTTACAATTGACCTGTCTAGGTAACCAAGGATGATCCCAAATAGATATGGTCTTACCATCACCCACTTGAAATCTAGTGCCCAACTTCAACAACTTGACAACCCCAACCCAAGTTTTCCACAACCAAGAATCCCCATTCTTTGGCTTAACATCCAACAAACTACTGCTATGAAAATATCTGCCCTTTAACACTTTACTAATTCGCAGGTTAGGATTTGTTAGGACTCTCCATAACTGCTTAACCAGTAAAGCATCATTGAAAGCATTCAAGTTCTTGAATCCCAACCCACCACTAGCCTTAGGTTTAGCTAAAACCTCCCAACTGGACCAATGAATCTTACTACCCTCTGCTTCATTCTTCCCCCACCAAAATGCAGCAATGGCTTGACAATTGTTTTACTAACACAAACTGGAAGTTTGAAACAAGACATAACATAGGTTGGGAGAGCTTCAAGAATAGATTTCACTTGCACCTCTCTCCCAGCCTCACTCAGGTAAATATTCTTCCAACTAGCCAGTTTTTTGCCCACACATTCAAAAACAAAATTAAAAGTACTCCTCTTGGATCTCCCTATTCCTAGAGGTAGCCCTAAATATTTGGAGGAAGTGATACATTGAATCCCATTAAGAATACTACAAATCCTACCATTAGAATTATCAGGAGTGTTTTTAGAGAAGAAAATAGAAGATTTTGACATATTAACATTTTGGCCTGAAGAAGCCCCAAAAATATCTAGAATGGAATTAATCAGATGTGCATGATATTCATCTGCAGAACAAAAAAGAATAGTATCATCAACAAAGAGAAGGTGGGAAATAGCAAGAGAGAACCTACTGATTTTGATACCTGAGTAGGAAAACAGACTGCAAGCTTGAGAGAACAAATTAGATAAAGCTTCTGACAAAATGATGAAAAGATAAGGAGAGATAGGGTCTCCTTGCCTAATACCTCTAGAAGATTTAACAAAACCCAAAACTTGCCCATTAATATTAAAGGAAAAAGAAGTAGAGGATAAATAAGCAGCAATCCAAAGCACAAAAGATTCAGCAAATCCCATTTTTCTACAAACACTAAGCAAAAAATCCTATTCAACTCTATCATATGCCTTCTCTATATCTAATTTAACAGCCATAAGATGCTTAGTCCCTTTTGTTTTGCTATTTATGAAATGCAAACACTCATTAGCTAAAACCACATTATCAAGAATTTGAGATGTATTTTAATTTCAATAGATGAATTTTATCTCTAAGGAATGGCATTTGAGATGTAGGCTATGTTTGATAAAAACTAGCTGATAAGTTAGATTATAGTTTTTATGTGAATTTCAAACTTATAACTAATAACTTATGATTTATGACTGAAAATCTAGCTTATATGATAAAAGTATTTGGTAAAATTAGCCGAAATAAAAATTTCAATGGAATTGTGTGAAAAGTTACCTAAGGAAGCTCATGAGATAAGGTCGAGCTTTTAAAAAAAGCTCGTCCTATCAAACCAATCTTATTAGAATACAGGAAGCTACTTTTAAGTTGATTAAATAAGCTACAAGTTAGTTTATATGCTTACCAAACACAACCGTAAGCTATCCCAACCAACTCTTGATGCTCGAGCTAGGGCCCGAGCAGAGTCGAGTTCGATTCGTTACATAATCGAGTCAATAAATGAGTTATCAAAATAACGAGGAAGAACTTTAACGAGTCGAGTCAAGATAATAGATCAAAAAATTATGTAAACGAGGAACTCGAGCTTGGGTCGATTTGATAATTGAGCCGAGTTGAGCAGAGCCCACGAGCGGCTTCGATAATTTAACAACTCTAATGACTATATGGTGTGCACGAATTATCGGCCCACCACGATTTCCTATAGAATAACCTCGCTCGAACATCTCAAATCATAAATCTACCTAGACACTCCTACGCACAAGTCACCAAATCCATAATCATATCTCATAATCAAAATTGTTGTTTAGAAATTGAACTTGTAAATCTTATTTATAAGAGATTAATAATTTGCTCTATAACTATAAGTGAGGATTTTCATAGAATATTACCTTCTAAAATTTGTCATAGATAGTTAAATCAAATCAGATATTATTCATAAACCTTCGAAATAATCTAAAATCATAGCCAAAATCCTCCAGAAATTCTATGGTGCTCATATGGGCACCATATGGTGCCATAATCTCATGATCCAACGCCTAATATCCATTGTGGAATTGATAGAATGGATATTAGGCGTTGGATCATGAGATTTATGGCACCATATGGTGTCCATATGGACACCATAGAATTTCTGCAAAATCCTCAGGGTAATTTAATTATATTATACCATTGAACCCCGACCAATACTTGACCGAACCGGGCTATTTTAGATGGAGTATCACTGTACTTATAACTTTCACCAATAATAATATATCAACTTCTCGTAATCCAGTTTTTTAAATTTCTCAGCTTGTTTTGGCTGCAATAGTGCAGAAATTCTATGGTGCTCATATGGGCACCATATGGTGCCATAATCTCATGATCCAACGCCTAATATCTATTGTGGAATTGATAGAATGGATATTAGGCGTTGGATCGTGAGATCTATGGCACCATATGTGCACCATAGAATTTCTGGCAATAGTGTTGAATTCAAGATAGTTTTAATATATAAAAAAAAAAATATTTGTGGCTAGCCTTTTTGAATATTCCACTAATGAAAAATCATCTGTTAAAAAAAGTCACTGATTTTACCAGCCTTCTGCTCTTTTCAAAAGAGGTAAACTCAGACACATAGGAAAATTATCCATTAGTCCAAAAGGAGAAAATTATATTTGAATTTTCATAAAAATTTCCACATTATTTGTCCAGTACAACAGAATCTTGTGGAAGAAGGAAATTTTGTGCAGTTAAAAGTCCAACATTTTTCTTCTTATTGTCACAAATGCTGAATGGGAAGAATTATACTACCTCTCGACAGTATTAGAAGTCATTTTAGGTCAAATTTATTTATTTTTTATTCATCGATTTAGATATATTATTTCAATTTTGTAGTATTAGAAATCTTAAAAGATGAAAAGAATAATCAAAGTTTAAGATATAGAGAAAATAATTAAAGGAACGTGGAATAAAAATAATCATTGAGAAAGTAATGTATTAATATTAATAAATGATTTGATAGAGAATGAATTGTTAATTTTTATGATTTTGTTTAGAGTGACACTTCTTTGTATACAAGTAAATATATATTTCTGTTTCTTTTTTGCTAGGGGAATAAAATATAACTGGATCATAATAAAGAAAACAAGTATCTTATTTCCTAAAAAATAACACAAATTACTCAAGCACTTGATTTCAAAACATTGAAGGCAAATACCAATCCCTGCCATCCAATATTCAGCTATTAAATAAACCAATTTTACACCCACATCTTGCAACAAATTATATCCTAATTACAAACTGTTCTTTTTTTCTTGTCTTTTCTCTCTATGCTTCTCTTTTTTAATTCCAAACTTACATCCTTTAAGGTGCAAATTGAAATTAGGCACAAAAACTGGGGGTTAAAGTAATTCATCATCTCTTGAATCCGCCCTCCACCAAACAAAGCCAGCTAACCATACTAGCCCAAAAAATTCCAAGTATTTACACAATAGCCCCTACAATTTTTCGCCATACCATAAACCGCCCCCACACATTTTTCCCCAGTATTCATTGCCTAAACCCGAACCCTCCATTCTGGGTCGGGTACTGACCTAAAAACGGGTCAGTCGAGCCTGCAAAATCCGAAACAAAACCGCCAGGGTAGATTCCAGGCCGGCCCACCCGCAGAGCCAGGGCCCCACTCTGCACCTCTTCTTCGCCAAACTGCAGCAGAGGGGTATAAACGTCATTTGAACCACCCACGTTGCCGCAACTCATCTGCTGCTGGGTTTGGGCCTGAGTCTGGGCCTGGGCCGCCTCCACCTGCCCGGATCCCGGCAGCGGGATGAGCCCAGCAAGCGTGGCCCAATCGAAGTTCCCGGAGCCCAGCTGCTGGAGGTTCTTCAGAGAGTTCAACCTCGGCAGCGAGAGGTAGCGTTCGTCGATTTCCGGCAGGGAGTCCAAAACGTCGTCGTATTGTGAGGAAGACGACGATGACGAGCCGTGGCTGTATTCCTTGCTCTGGGAGGCGGCGCCGCCCACGGCGGCGGCCGCCGGCTTCTGCGCGCCGGAGCTCTTCTTGTAAATCCGACAAAGCACCCACTCATCTAACTAAAACAAGAAATTGAGAAGGAAAACAGAGTAAATAATCTGCCCAACAAAAAAAGATACATTTTTTTTCTTGATTTGTATAAAAATCTCACCTTGGGGCTGCCATTTTTGCGGGGAGGCTCTGAGAGCCTGAATTCGTGCATAATCCAGTTGGTTTTGGTCCCTTTAGGCGCCTTTCCGACGTAGAAAACGAGAGCTTTCTTGATCCCCACTTTCCGGCCACCGGTTGTGATGATCTTGTCGGTGCCGGTGGCCTTCCAGTACCCGGATCCGGCGACGCGGTTCGGCCGGGACCCGTTCGGGTATTTCCTGTCCCTCGGGCTGAAGAAGTACCACTCCTTCTCGCCAAACACGGCTTTGCCTTTACACACGCATTTAAACAAACACTTAGTACGCATACCCACAAAATCAATAAAACACACGAAAATCAAGAATCGAAATCATCTGAAAATCAAATTGGACTCACTGGGGAGGTCCCAAGGATCGAACTTGTACAGATCAATGTCTCCGATGATCCGTAAGGAAAAATGGTGGCCGGCCACTTTTCTGCAGAGGTACTGAACCAGGAGCTCTTCGTCGGTCGGGTAGAACCGGAATCCGGGAGGTAGGCACAGTTGTGAAAGCGGGTCCGGTTCTTGGACGCCCATTTTTTCCGGGTTTTAAGAAAGATAAGACCAAAAGAAATTTGTTCACTGTTTGNCTTTCGTTCTCCGGTAAATGGAGAGAAAAGGCGGCTATTTATAAAGGCTGAGGAACAGTAAAAGGTAAAGGGATAAGTACGGTCGTCCTTTTCTGGGCCATACACGATCACCGTCGAAAACGCGACACGTATGCAGGAGTTGGGCGCGGCCCATCCGTCGGCCGACCTTATCCTACACCCCGCCATTTTTTGTCCAAGTGCATGAACTTATTTTCCATAATGTTGACCAAAAAAATAAATAAATAAGTAAATTATATACTTGGGCATTTCCACACACAAGGACACTATTTTTCTCGTTTTCTATGTTATTTTTGCTAATCTTTTAGGTTTTGACTTCAATGAATTGTGTGCGGCCATCACTAGCTCCACAAGAGTTAACCGATATTGTAATTCATAAGTTTGACCAATATTGTTTCATTATATACACATGCCAATTTTGAAGTTTCTCATTCTTTTTTTACCTAGTACCCACCAAATTTTAAATTCATTATGTTGCACTCTTAGTAAATATGATTCCTCGTTAACAAATCCAACAAATTTTCATTCACTCACTACACATCATAAAAATGGCTCTTTTTAGGTTGATCTCGTAGCAATGTTGTTGTGTTTTCACAAAACTATAAATTGAATGACTTATGATGTAATTAGCTATATTAGTGCATTAAGAATTAAAGTTCTAGACAGCAGTTCAAGTTTTAGCTCGGATTGTTATCACGAAGGTTTTGAGATTGGAAATTTAAAAGGTAAAGTTCAAATCTGGTATGAATTAATTGAACCATGTTTGAACTATAAGTAGGTAAAAATGAATTTTAAGTCATACGAACATAACGCTTAATGATTTTTTCAAGTCAATTCAAAAAAGAAAGAAAAGGCAATTCATGAAATACAATCGACATAAATTAATATAGGGCAAGCATCTTATTCACCCTTCTCACTAAAGGTATATTAAGTTTTTCATACTGTACGCTGACAAATTCACTATATTCACCACAAAAAAATTAAAAATGACTATTTAAATAGATCGCATAACTATCGCATATTAATTGCACAATTAAATTTCGCACTTTAATTTTTACACTCCCACAAAATGCAAAGAATTATGCACGTAGACTCTATAACTGTCACGTATTCATCACATAATTATTGCATATTCATTGAACAATTACTTCGCATTATATGAGCAAACAAGTTAGCTTGTTAAGATGTGAAAAAATTAATAGTATATTTTTTATGTGGTAGTGTAAAAATGGCTATTTCTGCACAGAAAATATGCTTATTGCAAGCACATAAATGGCAAGGGGGGACGTGACACTTGTACACATGAGTCATCAGCTGTTATGACACGCACAAACTTCTAGAAATTTATGAGTGCATCATTGCAAACTGGTACAATAATCAAAGAAGATTTAAAAAATAAAAAATAAATAAAGCTCTTGCTGGGTTTGGCTGCTGCGGGTGCATGTGCTCCAACATCACACCCGCAGATCCGCTGTATATGCTCCTCCATCGAATTTTCCAGTTTGATCTAATAGCTGCATATCCCTAAAGAGTTTTTATTTGGTTTTATTTTCCTTTTAGTTCCTAAAATATAATAAAATTATTTTTGAAAATGTTTGTAAGATAAGTATTGGGAATAATTGTTATGTCAGAAATTTTCTAAATTATATATTTATATATTATCTTTTAATTAGTAGTGAATCTCTTTTTTTTTTTCTAAGTATAAACGATTTTATTAGATTATTATAGGCATTTCCGCGTAATCAGTTTGGACATCTTAATGAAGCTTTAATGACTACCTAAAAGTATTATTATCAATTGAAAAAATATCTTCAACCAAACCAAATAATAGGAAAGCAATGACTAGTCAAAGCTGCAGTTGCTCGTAAGGAGAAGATATCTATAGGTTAAAAAAAGTGAAAAGCAATTTTAACAATTGTCCAAATATAGATATTCCACATACCAAAAACTTATCTAATATTATTCCTTGTTCTATTTTATTTTTCCTCTTCAACTTATATGCAATGCATACTGACTGTAATCGTAGTCCTAATAGCATGCACAATGCTTTGAGTCTCTTTAAAAAAAATCACATATCATGTAAGAAATAAGTTTGGTCTATCAAAAAATGTCTCCCAATGCAATTAAAGTTGAACATAGTCTAGCTTATGTGGCAATTAAAAAAATAGACCCAAGCACAAACTTGACTTGTCAGCAATCATTTACAATTTTTTTTTTATTAGTTGGTAGGTAATTTATACCTAGTATTTTTTTTGTGCATTGGAAAGGTTTTGGGTTTTTTTCCTTAGGGTTTGTCCATGTCATTTAAGACCCAAGTCCAATTATATGCCATATATACAAAAAGAGACCCAAAGTATTGTGGGTGCTTTAAGAGCATCCACAATGTTTAGATTTAATCACAAAAAATTGTATATCACCTAAGAAATAGACATAGTCTAAAAAAATGTAAATTTCAATGCAAACAAAAGTAGACTGGGTCTGCTGATGTGGCAGGCAGAAAAAGAGACTCGGTCTACTTCTAAGTATATTTTAGACCCAAATAGAGACCTAGTCTATTTGCATTAATGGAACGAATGTTATCAATTTTACATAGTTTTATCCATGTCATCCAAGATTTGAGTTTATTTGCATGTCATCTAATAAGTAAGACTAGACCTAATGCAGTGTAGATGTTCTATGAAAAAATTAAAATTGGTCCCTAATGTTGAAAAGTAGTTTTGTTAGAATTTAATGAAGAATTAATAGTTCTGTTATTTAAAATTAACCGATTCAGTGATGATTTGGCTGAAAAATTAATGTAACACATGATGTCGCGTGACACGTTAATCACCTGTTTAAATATGAATTTTTGACAAAAAATTGTTCACTTTGATCGAAAAGACAATTTTATACCAAAATTTAATTGAATATGCGCATATGACCTACTATAGCTTGAAATTTTAATGTTTTGAACCTTTTAAGACCCTATTATTTTCGTTCCTTACGATTAGGAAGAACCCAGGGGCGGAGCTAGAATTTTGAAATACCTGGGGCCAATGAAATTGCGACCTCCGATTTTTTTTAGTTTCAAACTCGACAATTATAGTATCATTGCTAATCTTTTCGACTAACTCCCTTTCAATGTAAATAGTCATGGAATCCGCCAGAAACTCCTCTTCCATCTTATTACGAAGAACAGTCTTGACAAGTTTCATAGCCGAAAACGCTCGCTCTGTAGTTGCCGTAGACACAGGAAGAGTCAAAACAAGACGAATTAACCTGAAAAATAAATTAAATAAATTAAATCGAATAAATATACTAGAACTTAATTTACAAAAATGACTTAAAGACAATTTCGGTTGTACCTGTCAATCAAGTTGTAGATTTTTGACTTATTTGTCTCAACTAATCTTCGACATAATTCAGAAATAGTAGATAAGTCTTGAAATCTCTCATTAGTAATGATATCAAGCTCGTAATGGTTCAATTGCAATCTTAAGTGGAGCAAATCTTGACCATCAAAATCAAAAGGATAGAAGCGTTCGGCAAGACGATGAATATGATCCGCATTGAACAATTTAAAGCCTTCTTTCGGTTCCAAGGCACAACTAAGCTTAAGAAGTTCAACTGCTTCATCCTTGAATCTACTATTTATCTCTTCAATTTGAAAATCTATTGCGGAGTTGAATACATCAAAATGATAATGATGCTCAACTGTGATTGAATCACTTTGATGACTTGAACGGCGTGTAGCAGATTTATAGAGAGCTTCCATTTGAGGCACCTCAATATCATACTTGACACAAACATCCTTCACAATTTGAAGGTGGGTACCAAAACCTTCTTCTCTCAACGTTAGAAGTAACGTTTTAGTAGATGAAATATTGTCCATTGCACTTAAAATATCTAAAGACTTCTCTTGCAATGCCCGACAAAGTAAATTTGTTATTCCCATTATCTTTTGCATCAAGTATAATATGAATATAAAATCAAAAGACTTCATTGCAATCAAAAAACCACTCGCTTCACCTCGAATGGAATTAGAAGATCCCTCATCCACCATTTTCTCCAACACAACAATCACGGAGCTATACATATCTATCATACTACTAAGTGAGTCAAAATTAGAACTCCACCGAGTTTTTCCTGGCTTGAGTAAATTCCCAACTTGATTACTCCCTCTACCTGTCTCACGCTGCCCCATTGCTATCTCCAATGCAATTTTATTTTTTTGAGCAACTTGCAAATCACAATGGCGTTTGGGAGAGGCATTTATAAGATTACCGATAGCATTCAATTTTGAAAAAAATAACCAAATGGATACCTCTTTTTCAGCAGCTGCAACCAATGCTAGTTGAAGTCGATGCGCGAAACAATGCACGTAATATGCACTCGGACAATCTTTCAAGAATAGAGCCTGCAATCCACCCCACGAGCCACGCATATTGCTAGCACCATCATAACCTTGTCCCCGCATATTTTGAATTTGCAAATCATATCGATTTAGAGCATCTGATATTTCTTTCTTTAGCGTCGCGGCGGTTGTATCAAGGACATGAACAATAGCAAAAAAACGTTCTCTTATAAAGCCATCAATATCGACAAACCTCAACACAATCGCCATTTGCTCTCTGTTGGAGTTATCTCTCGCTTCATCCACTAAAATGCAGAATTTCGCGGCTCCAACTTCCTCACGAATTTTGGATCTCACTTGGTGAGCAAGAATATTTAGAACATCTTTTTGAATTTCTGGAGAAGTATACTTCGCATTTCTTGGAGCATTCTCTAAGACTACGTCTCCAATGCTATCATTCATTCTTCCCATGAACTTTATCATTTCGATAAAATTTCCACGATTAGTTGATAATGTAGATTCATCATGTCCTCTGAATGCACATGCTTGCAAAGTGAGCCATCGGATGCTTTCAATAGTTGCTGTTAGACGCAATCTATTCTTTTGTTTCTCCTCTAAAGTTTGTGCATTGATTATCTTATCAACATGATGAGGCACATTCATCAAACAATCAATAGAGGCTGCAGCATTATTATGTGATGAAGTAGGGCCTCCAACATGTTGTAAGAAGGAGCATCTGTCGCCGTCATTAACTCGCTTCCAATACTTGAATCCCTCTGTAGTGAATGGTGAATCTCGAGCTTGTTTATTTTCAAATAAGAAACACGGGAAGCAAAATGCAGCATCCCTAGAAGGAGAGTACTCTAACCAAGTAAACTTCTTGAACCAATTGCTTTGAAATCTCCGATTTTGAGCTCCAAATGGCGTCAGTGGATATTCTTTCTTGATAGGTTGATACGGTCCCATCTTAATATAAGCTCGTCTAATTTCATCTCTTTGATTGACGGGACATTTCCATATTGGAGTACGCAATGCCGGGTCACGTTCAAGAGAGCTCATATCAATAGAGGCGGCAACATCATCATTAGAAGGACGATCTCCGCTTGTCGACGTATGCTCTTTTGGCTTAAAGAACGAATTGATAGTTTTTCTTTTCTTCGTTCCTTGACCCTCCATTATAATTAAAACCTATCAAGTTAACAAAAAATAGTAAATTACTTAAGCATTTAGGTGATAGAAGCAAACTAAAAAAAATAATAAAATAAAAAAAGGTAATCAAGAATGTATTGTGGTTTTTTGTACACAATCATATTATGAATGCCAAGCATCCACACCTTTATAAGAATGAGTACATGATCAACTAGTATTAACAAGTACAATTAAGCTAAAAACATGTTCCCAAATTGGTATAAATTTTAATATAAATTAGATAATGCAAGTGAAACAAGTACATCAAAGAACAATTTTATTTTTCCATTTTTCCACCTCGTATAAATAATTTCAATGCCCAATAACACAAGGTAGAGTTTACTAATAAGATATAATTTAAATGGACAAAAACTTAAGACTACAAGACAAAAAAATATCAATCTATTCTTACTTTACTGTGACTACCTTGTTCCACATGAACTAAAGCTACAAGACAAATTTAGCAAATAAAAAACAATGCAAACCAGTTGGCAGGATTTGGAAAAACTTGAGACCACGTGCAAGGGAAATTGATGTCTATTCCCCATAAGCTCATATTTTTACCATAATTTTAACATAACAACGAAAATCAAACAAGTATTTGAGATTAATTTACACAAAACAGACACCATTAGCAAACCAAATAAATTCCAATTTGACCATTTGTGCGGATGTAGGAACATAAATCTATACAGGTCAGTAGTTTTCCATAATTCACAAATGCAGCCAATTTTTTCAACAGACCAAAATTCCCAAAAAATATGTTCACTTAGGGTTCAGAATACTTCAATAGAAAAAATTAATACTTCAAGACCAAAAACAAAAATCAATCGAATTATTCACAAACCACATAAAACCATGTTATTGAATAGGGTACTACAAATTTCTAATCTAAATTGGATGTTCGATTTCTTACCAGCGACTCAGCGAGGTAAGTGGCTCTGTGGCTGTAGGACCGGGCGGCGTCGCGGCGAGGAGTGAAATCGAGGGTTGGGGACGGGGCGGAGGGATTGACGGCGAGGAGTAAAACCGAGGGCTGCTCGTTTTTCTTGGAGGATGAAACCCGTGGATTGGATGGGGCAATTGGGGATGAGTGTGCAGTGTGCTGTGGGCCTGTGGCTGTAGGACGAAACTGAGGTAAGAATTTTTTTTTTTTTTTTTTAATTCTTTGGTCTTTTAATATTTTTTAGGCGCAAGATTGGGATAAATGGGCCATAAAAAAAAGAAGAAGTATTGGGTTTAGTTTTTATGGGCTTCTCTTTTGGAGTTTTAGTATTGTGTGGGCTAAACAATAGGCTAACTTAAAAATTAGATGGGGCTAACAACAAAAATAATGTAAAATATAATTTTTTTTTTTTTTTTTTTTAATTTTACCTGGGGCTGGAGCCCACCCTAGCCCATGGGTGGCTCCGCCCCTGGAAGAACCCAACGAAAGAATTACACATCTTATCACTATGTTTTCAGACTGATTATTAACAAACTATTCAACTCACACGAATTAATTTAAAAATAAAAATCAATTAATGTTGAGCTCCCAATCATTAGTTCGTTTAGCAACACGAATTAATTAATCTAATTATATCCCAATCTCGTTTGTAGATGCATTATTGTAAAAAATAATAACACATCACCTCGCATAAATATGAAGTTGAAAACTTGAAACTGAAAAACAAAAATACACAAACGCGTATATTGGTTAAAAAAAAAACGCGGGAGTTTGGAGGGGTTGACACGTGCAGCCACGTGGATGCCTTTTGGCTGTTGAAGGAGTTAAGCGGAATTTTCACTTAAACTCCCATAATATGTCGACACGTAGCAAATTTGTACTTTAGCACAATTTTGTACTTTTGTGCTGGAAAAATATGGGCGTTTCTTTCAATCTACAATCTGCCAAATCCTTCGCGATTTGGATCAATTAAAAGCTCCTTAGCTGGCATTTCTATTTGGAGTTTTGTGGTCAAAAGGTTTGTGCATTTAAAGCTTTAAACTTTTCTATCATTTTCTTATTTTATTTTCCTTTATTTTAATGTGGAAGGATAATTACCACATTCAAATTTTTAGTATATTTAGAAAATCCAATGCCTTCGCGATGTGGATCAGAATATTTAAAAATTTTCATTCACCTCTCATGCTGGTTTGATTCGCTAATATCGTTGGATTAAAAAAAAAAATGGAATCGAAATATTTGTTTTCTTGTGGTTGCAAAATATCTTACATACACAAATTGTTTCAACATCTACAAAAATGTGACATTTATTTGATAAAAAAAAAAAAGTTGAAGTGTTAGAATTTGTTTTACAAGCCTAATCTTTAATCTTTATCAAGATTGTTAATATATATGTAATTTTTCTAAGGCATGCCAAAAGAAAAAGGGAATTTTGGGCAAATTCGAATATTACCAACGTTTAACTTAGACTTTAAGGTTTATTATCAATCATTTTCATATTTTTAAGAAAACAATTTTCTTAAGAATCTAATGATACAAGATGATAATCATTGCATCATGAATGATTTTCTAATTAAAAAAACAAAAAAGTTTTATGCTATGGTGGGGCTTTGATTCTGGGGGTTTTGAAATGTTTGGTGGGTCAAACGGGCACGTAGAGCATATTTGGGCTAAGAGAGGCCCAGCTTTTGACACCACATACTTGATAGTTGATTGATAGAAAACGGATAATTACAAAACCATCTCTCAATTTCGGTGCACCAACAAAAAAGCCAGCCTTTTTTTAGCAAAATTACATCTAGCCCCATTATACTTTTCAGTTGTTTTCTAGGGAGCCTTCCGTTTCAAGTACATTTTCAGTGTTGTAAATTTGGATGGTGAAAAAATAAGTAGAATATATATATCGACACTTAATTGAGAAAGTGTAGTAATAATGCATAACTAATGTTACAAATCACATAAAATGAAAAATTCGATGCTACCCATATGGGTACTGCTTACATGAACTTTTTATCATTTGATACACACATAAACACACACACACTCACATGGGTGTGTGTGAAATCAATGATAAAAATCCACGTGGGTAGCATTAAATTTTCCCACACAAAACTGCTCTATTTTGTATTGAAAAATAATTAATATTCATAAATATAGATGAATACCCATTTGAATGTCATTTTTATTTAATGAAGTACTAGTACAATACTCGTGTATTACACGGGTGTTGAATTAGAAAGTTTTTTTTCAAAAATATTAATTTTTTTTATTTTTTTAAAAGCTAAAATAATTTAATTTTATATAAAACATTACTTTGGTTTTAATTAAATTGCCAAATTTTATTTTTTAATCATAATAATTAAACACTCGTGCATTAAATGAAAATGTCAACCCGTGTTGGATTTTTTTACTTATATCTTATATGTGTTGTATTATAATAAATTTTCTACATTATAACATATAATAACTACATTGATCATAAATATATTAATTGATAAATAATTTTATTATTATTATAAAGATAAATATAATTTATTTATTTTATATATAAATTATGAATGTCAAATCGAAGCTCATCAAAAGATAATTAAATTGATTTATTATATATGTAAAACCGATAAAAAATATAAAAGTTATCAACTTTTAAAATATATTTACAATTCAAATGTTATAATAAGAAATGATATTAAATACAATTAATACAAATATTAATGTATATCAAAGTATAGTTCCAAAACGTGTTTTTTTGCCAAATAGAATTTCAAAGCATGAGAGTTCAACGTATTAATTATATATATATAGAGGGGTTATGTTAATCTTAAATCTAAAACTAATTGAACATGAGCCTGACGTCACACATTACAGAATGGCACATATTACTAGAACTGTCTGCCAGGTGGCAAGTACCTGACCGTTACACGCTACTCAGTTAAATAAAATAATAATATAACTTGTAAATTCTAGCTGTAACGACTAATTAATCTTTTTAATAATATTCTAAGTTAGATGCGAATCCAAAGTGAGGTCCCGCCGTTTTTACAACAAACTTCTCAGGACACGTCACCTCATTTGCTGTCACATACGAAAATAAAATAACATTTGACAAGAAATGTATATATTATGCATACGTACAGAGATGACGTGTAATTGAAACAATGTAAGATTTTGGTTTAAGATTCTAAATTATGTGTGTATTTTATTATTATGGACCAATTGCCATAAATCGAGATAATATTCATTTAATATTTAAATAAACACTCATATATGATTTTCAAGTTTCAAGTATGAATTCATCAATGTGAACATCAATTTTCCAAAGTCTTACACGCTATAGAATCATATTACTAATCTGCCTAATTATTTACAAATCCACATTGAATAATTATTTCTTGCAAAAATCCTACAATGGCAACAAAGTAAACTATATATAATGTGAACCAGTGGACTCTATTAGTAAAGCAATAATGGTTGAGGTGGAGTTTATACATCAAATTAAGAAAACTGTATCGTGTAATTGAGAGAACTCAATATATGAAAGCAATTTTTAGAAAAACAAAAAAAATAATTGGTTTAATTGCAAAACTGTTTATTATATCGAATTTTATAAGTTGTGTCATCCGATTACTTCATTGCAAAACTGTTTTGAGTAATTATTTGCCACTTTTAAGAGTGTTGTACAATGATCATAAAACCCGTATCACATACGTCATATTTTGGTTCTTATAAAATGAAAATTTTCTTTTGTAAGAAGTAATAAATATATTTGTATGCAACAAAAAACATATTAATTCAAATAAAACGATTTTATGTAAATAATTTAATCCAAATAATAACATTCAAATATTATTGGTAGCTAGTCACCTATCGTTCATCAATTAATATCTTCATCAATGTTGAAATTACTAAAGAGGATTGATAACACTTAATTTGACTGTACTATGGATAGTTTTTATCAGTTCTAATTAGTTTGAAGGGCGGAGAAGGTTTCCCTGAGGTATATATCGTGTGTTGGACCATTTTAAATCACTTCAAAAGTATCCTCGTAATTAATTGTGGTCTTAGGTTGTTGTGATTTATCAATATTTCCACGTACAAAGTGCCAAAATATATAAATTATACAACATACAAATTTTTATTTTTATTTATTTTTTAACTTGTGTTTCTCATTATACCCATTGAACACGATTTTTTCGTTTTTAAAACACGGCGAAGGCAGGATTCCATACTTTCTTGGGGTAAAGAAAAAGAAAATGAATTGTTTGTGAAGCATGAATCGAAATTAAATATTTTTTTATGCGGTAACATGTTGATTCACATAGTTAAAATGAAAATTTGGTATATTTACAATGTGTAGTTTCATACTCATTTATATTATTTTTAAAATAGAATAAGAACTATGCATGCATGATGAATTTACTGTTGGGGTTGAATATATAAATCTAATCCAATTCATATGTAGAAAATTATACTTTTACCAAAAATTGCTTGTGGATGAATATACATATGGTTTTATTTCAGAACTTTACTATTGTTCCACTAAAATTGTACGAGTAGTATATTGATTTATCATTGCTATATATTGAGTTCGCGAGGTAGAGTAACGAAAAATATTGTCAAAATGGATACATTAATTTGCTAGATGAACTTAATTATTTGATGATTTTGGATGTCAATTTTTAAACTCAATGAGTGACAAATTAGGGCAATCATGTTTTTGAGAGAACTAATTGAAAAAA